CTACTAACTACTTATTTAACCGAATTTTAATACATTTAATGATAAGTTCGTGAATAACATTTCAAATTTTAAAAATATGTGAACTTTTTAAAAGCGTGCATGTATGTGTATAAAAATATATATATATATATATATATATATATATATATATATATATAAACGTGCGTGTATATCCACTGATGTAACCATGATTTAAACATGCAGCAAATTTTTATGGTGTAACTGATTGATTAATTAACTGACCTGTAAACAAAAGTAGACGTATTCATATAAAAATGGTGAGAATTATTAATTTTATTTTAATAGGAATAATAATTAACTAAGTGAATGTACCGATTGTTTGTACAAAATCACTCTAGGAATCTTTAAATTCAGTGTAAACATCATTTCACTTAATTCGGAATGGTGTATGTTGAATTCAGAAAACATTGAAATTATTTACCATAGTTAGTGGTTACTTGTTCTGTTGAAATTAGACATCGTTATGTAGTAATCTATTTATCATAAATCATTCAAAATTAATTACTTTGGAATTGAATTTCATAACCATATATGGTTGTCTCTATCGTTAATTTCCATCATAATTTGGCAAAAATTGATTTTGAATGCTTTGTAAAATAATTTTAGTCTCCATTCAGAATTCATTTAAAAAGATATAACATCTGAATATCATTTGTTAAGATAATCACATACATGCTAGTACAAAACCAATTCAGTCAAGGCTACATTCGTATTCAGTGCATAATTGTTATATAGGATCACTAATGGGATATTTTTTTTTACCTCAATTGTGTATTTCCGAATATCTCATGTTCCTAATGGCTTGAGAATATATATCGCAGTTAGAGTAAATCAAAGAGTATAGTCATTTCAAAACCTGAAGTGTGAAATAAACCATGCGTTGCGTTTAATGACATAGTAAATCAAATGAAATATAATCTTACTTCTCTCTGTTAACTTTTTATGAACAAAAAGCACATTTGAATGGTAAACTACACTTCCACTCCGTATTTGAGTTTATTTTACCAGCTATATGCTATTAGTCTGCTGCTTTTGTTTTCCAAATAAATATGTCTTTTATTCTAATTATACTTTCATAATTTAACAGAAAAAATCTTCGAAGTCGTCTGAATACTGATAGATTGGTTTTCATGAAATCATCGTTATACTAAACAGAATAATTCATTTATGATTTATTATATATTATCTATATTTAATTCTGTTTTGAATAGTCTTTATACATGAAATGTTTGTTGAAAAAAGCAATACAATGTATGGAATCATAAACAAGAATAATTTAAAACTTATTAAAGGAATGAAATAACTATCCAGTTTAATAAGAACATTTGGTTTTGATACTCATCAAAGTATACACTGTATTAATCAATAACCAATTGATAATCAATATCATGTCACCTACTTAGCCATATTAAACGAATTCTGAGTTTTAGTTGATAAAGACAATAAATAAGAATGCCTGTATTGATCTTATTGAGTCTATCTATCCATTCAACCATCTATTCAACAAATTTACAGTGAAAGGTGTTAATATTTTTGACACAAAAAGCTCCATCTGTTTATGACCGATCTGACTAATGCCCAGTAGCAGTATATAAGAAAAATCAACGCGTTTGAAATCCGAATTTGAAATTAAGTAATCTAATCAAAGATGATTAAGTATGATAAAGAAGACAGATTTGGTTCAGTCAATTAAATCTTATAAGAAAAGTTTCAGATTCTTAGAATCATTTCTACAGAAAATCTTTAAACATATTCTAACAACTTACAGTTTTCTTTACATAACCGATAGCTACAGTGTATACAGTATTTTCAGTTTCGGTGAACAAACACAACATAAACTGGCATAAATGCTCTAAAATCTAGGTAGTTAAGTACCGTTTACATCTCTCAAAAGGTTCTGGAAACCCTTCACAGCTACGAAACATCAATGTTAAGTGGCTTACATGTCCTGGATAAGACTACTCACTAGACTTCCAGAAGGCTAGCTCTTGGATAACTTAACATTATATATATATATATATATATATATATATATATATATATATATATATATATAATTTGTTTCAAGTGACAATAAATGATTTGCAACTAACCCATCCATCTCAGAGAACCAAACACTGACAAAAGTTCGTAAGACTAATGACAATCAACTACGTAAGTACCGAGTTATTTTAATTTCCAAATATTTCATTCAATAGATTCTCTAACAGACTAAATTTGTTGTGTATCCGGTATATTTGATTTTATAGGACCTGATGAAGTAATTGATGTTCATTCTCTTTAGATCATCATCAGAGAAGTCAAGTATTGAACTAACACTGATTTTGTGACTATTTTCAGCCGATTCCATATGACTTGAACTTTTGTTGAACATTTTATTGCTTGTTTCGGAAAAAATTGGTCTTATTTAGGAAAAACGATATGATACTAGTTATCATATGGAAACGATTTATGTTCAAAACTTACTTATAATAGACATTGGTCACAGTATGTACAGTTAAGTGAACAGAACCATTTGCATTCAATTATCAGATTTCATCATGTTCAGATTAAGAATCTAAAAAATAACAGGAAGTTAATACGTTGCTTTCTTTCAATTACCTATAACCATATCACACTAAAAGGCTAAACAATATAGTGTCACTTAGTAATTATTTTCCTTACTTACGGTTTTCTGTTTAATCCTCGTCCATATCCGAACATTAGTGAGTAAAAATGAAAAAAAGTTAATATATTTATTTTTTATTATCATACTTATTTATCTATTCACTATGGTATTATCCATAAATCATAATTTCTAACAGATCTGAAACGTCATCGAAAAAATTTACCGAAATAATTATTGATACAAAAAGAAAAGACAATCACATGAGAAGAAACAAAAACGATGTGAATATTGAATATATTTCCTTGAATATAAAACAACCTATAATGTATTACTATTTTATATTCTCTCTTCTTGCAAAAAAAACAAACAAAAATAAGTAAATCAAATCAAATCAGACTTTATTCGTTTGCATGTTGATTTCAATTTGAATATTTTTAAAAGTTATTTAAATCATTTAGAAAATTTTCTTATTTTTCATAAAAATCAATATTATCTAGGGTTTTATAGCGATAATATTGATAATAATTTATAAGTGATTTTAATGATAAAATAACTTCAACCGGGATATTAATGTAAATTAGAATGAATTGCTGATTTACTTCTTTTTTTTAAAAAAAAATCATTCAACAGAACACATCGACGAGAATAAGCAACATCATACGTATAATTTTTAGGTCTATCTGTAAGCATTTTATCTAGAGGTTAATAAATTAAAATTCAATATATCAGGTTGTAAATGAGATAACAATAGTTTATTGGTTTTGTTAGATGTGTATCATGTAATAAAACAGACATACTGAACTTGAAAATGTGGACTATCGTGTTTCAATTCACTGTTGTAGAAGTATTGTGCTTGATTTGAATATTGAATGGTCCTATACTGGATGACTAATAACTTCTTAGGTTTAAAATGATGATTATCGTTCACGTTACAATCAACTAATTGTCTATTATTTATTTGGTTTCGATGATTCTAACATTGATATTAAATCAAGATGAAGACTACGCTTGATATAAAATATCCCTACAAGCGTATCAAAGCAAGGCGAATAGATGAAAATGTAACACTTTGGAAACTATTTTCCAAAAATGCAGTATGTATGTTACTAAAAATTATTTAGTGAATAAAAATGGTGTGTGATATTTTTATATTGTCCTAATTATTGGCGGTTATTTTACTCATTAGCTGTTCTTTTGTTTTTTTTTCCGTTGGTAAATTTGTGTAAATTATGGAGTGTTGTAGTCTTGTACTTTATATAATTTATCACTTGAGTTTATGCTTTGAAAGAATATAGGAAAGAATAGAACGATACTAGGCGTTTAGTTAATCTTCCTAAGATTTCTTTATTGATAGTTTAGGATTGAGTGAAAATTCTACAGAAGCCATAGTTTCGCTTATTATATACATTATACATGCTAGCAGACTCATTATTATTTGGCACGGAGAAAATTATAACGAAAAATACATGACTTAATACAATAATAATTTCTTGTTTACTTATGTCTTATATTCTCTTTATTTTATTTTTAAATGCTCATCATATCACCTTATTTATTTTTTACATCTCTATGACCTTTAACTATCATAATAAAAACATTTTAATCATCTTATTATATTCACTAAATCTATTGTTATTATTCGTATTACGTAATCTAGTATTATAATCTTTCTATTACGCCATGGTTAATTGTGTTCACATATCCTCACGGAATTAGTACTTTTACAAACATATTTTATGGTTATAGAAACTTTCGTTATCATTGCAATTCACTAGCAGCTTCCTACCTTCATTACTGTTATATTCTATCAGGCAGGTTGTTAGTCACTTTTTGTTGAAATTCTACAGTTTGGTTTAAACCTGCAATATCTAGTAACGGTTATTATGAGAACAACTAATTATTCCATATTTTATTTATAACAATCAACCCAATGCTCAATTTATTCGAAATTATCAAATCAAACCTTGGTAATGACACCTATTCCATATTTTGTTGAGAAACTATAATTTAGTTGATGAATTATGTTTGTTCTTCAATGACTAATCAATACATGTGTAGAGAGGGAAAAAATGGATGTATAACATGTTCCAAGTTTTATAATAGTTGTGTATATCTGTCATTAATAAAATGCCTAGTGGAGATCATAAATATCGTGGAATGGATTTCAGAAAGATAATCGTTAAATGATTCTTTAAATGTTTCGAAAACAATGAATACGTTTATTTACAAATAAGCAAATGACTTGCAGTGTTGATTATTATACATTTGTTAGGAATCAGTAGGAAAATATTTTGATACTTCGTTCGTTTATTCATTTTATTTATTCGTTTATTTTATTGAGTAATAAATATTGTATTTTTTTTCTACTAAGGTATGAACTTAAAGATAATACAAAATGTTCAAACATTGGAGAAAAATGTATTCAACGAATGGATGATTTATTTATTGAACTAGATCAAGATGCACGTGTACCACAAACATTAGCGCGAATCGATACTAAAGGTTTACCGACGGGTGTCGTACGAATAGATTTAAGTAAACATTATGCATATCAAGCATATAGTGGAAAACAAATTCCTGTTTCAACAGCATTTCGTGTAAGTTCTTTTAGTAATTTTTTTCACTCTATCAATGGCATTTTCCCTTATTACCTATTTACAATTGCATAAATTCAAGCAAGTGATATAAACATATCACTTCAAAAATTTTTGTTACTATGACTCAGTAATCCACTGCTCCAACTGTATTGAATGATTTTAAAAATGATTTATGCCCACTGAAAATATATTAATTCAACAAGATATCTTAAGTATGGGACTTCTTTATAAATTAAGCATCCGTTTTTCCGTTTATTTCAAATTTTTTTAAATAAAACAAATAATCTCCCTATCGCTGAGCGTGAATTCTATTACATAAACTTTGAACTAAAATAAATGCTAAGATGTCACATTAACATTTTTTCAACTTGTGTCTAACTCGTGTCTAACTATTCTCATTTAGTCTAAATGACTTCCATACTAAATCTTTAAATAAAGTTATTGAATAAGTCTAATTAAATAGTATCACTCAAGTGTGTCAAAACTTTATTCAACACTATAAAATGATGTTAGTCTACTGTGTAGGCGTATAAAACTGATCGATTTTCATTTAATACATAATGAAAAATAGCTTTCTGTAGGAAAAAATAAGCTTCATACTAATAACTGATTGTACGTGTTATGACTAAATAATATGAAGGAATGAACTATGTTATATGGTGTGAATAATATATTCTGTATTCGCCTTTAAAGTTCTTCCTTACTGATTGTTTGTCTTATCGTTTACTCTAAGCTTAGATGATATTGTGTTTGAAAGGATTTGTATCCCGTCTATCTGTCTCTTTTTCATATACGGGTATCCTGGAAGGATTGTGTTAGTTGTATCACATAATCACAAGTTTTCAGTAACGATAGTGTGGTTAAATTCGATAGGTACTGTGGTGTGTGCTACTTATATCGACATACGTAATATATAACACTAGTCAGGAATAGAATGTCTGGCAGCAGAAGGTTGAGAAGATCGAGGAGGAAAGAACGAGAACAGAAAGCAATTGATATGAACATACCAGAACAATGAAGTCTGAGACAATTAATGAAGTATTTACTGTATGGTTCTCAGATTTTACTAAGCAACTCTGTAATTCTCTGTTCAAATGAATTCGACTGTACCCACTTGTGTTCTCGTTCACTACAGTACTACGTTTAAGTTTCATCGTTAACATCAAAACTAGGATGTAAGCATATTCAGCTGGCAAGCCCAACATAGGACCCTCTAGATTCTACTTCTAGCCAACTATCGTAAAAATTAAATAATAATGATCAAAATTTCTGAATCACTATTCACTAGTTATTCTCAGATGATGAATCCCTGGAAACTTGAAATTTATTTCATAGAAATCTTGTTTCAACCAATCTAAGATTATCCGAAAATATATACATATTACTCACTGTTTTATTATGGATCTTTAATTTAGAAAATTACTGTTTCTGGCAACCATATAAACTTCACTTCAATTATTTATCTCTGTGAATAGTTTCAAATTGAGGAATTTTTTCGTGTATTGATAATATTTTTAGTTTGATAGGTAAATTGTTTAAATATCAAGTTACTATCATTAGTAGTATATTGTATTTTATCATATAGTCTAAAATATAAATTCATTATACAAACTATTCTAAAAGAACCTATTGATTTTATTTTCATATTTTCAATTTCTTTAGTTTTTTGATTCAAATAATGATCTCAACCATTGAAATTATTATGATATTCACAAAACCCTTTGATATTAATCAAATAAAATTGTTTAGATTTTCAACCACATTATGAAATTAATTCTATGTCGGAAATTATGTCATAGGTATTTATGAATGAATTTAATGCATGATGATGTTCTGTCATAAGTTTGCGTTCAATACGTAAAAACATGTTTCCTTAATAGAAGAAAGATAATTTGAACTGAAAATATGATAAACTAGATTCAGATTAAAAATCATAGTTATAATGGAGATTTAAAATGTCGAATACTTTAAATTTATTTCTTTCAATTTATTACACTTACTGATAATTAATCTTTGGTTATTGTCCAAATGTATACTGTCTAGTCCTTAATGTTAACCGGGCTACCTAGCCCGTCGTATGCCCTGCTGGTGTTTTCGCAACTTTCAGGTTGCCTGATCTGCCAAGGGCGATGGGACAGTACATGATGCTATTGTTGTGTGCTACGTTCAGAAAGAATTATATGCCATATGCATGCAAATCCGCCCTGTTATTGTTCCTATTGTTGTCCTTAATGTTAACCTCATTTTGTTGACTACGATGTAATTTGAACTGTAATGTGAAAAAAAATTTTTGTTAACATTTCGATGTATTTACTTTGATCTTTTACTATGTAAGATAGTAGAACAATCTCATTGAATACATGAACCACACATACGCTCGTGTAAAAATAAGTATTTGCATTAGCTTAATATGAAAACAAACAATACATACAAAACAATAATTCGTGAAAATATTCTGGGCAGGTAGAATAAAATCTATGAATTTCATACGTATATATAAACATACCATCCATCTATTTTTAGATATTTTTCAATGATATAGTGAATTGTTATTAGTAAGAGGCATTTCACTCTAAATATATATTTGTTATCTCTTAAAGTCGTCTAATCAACGTATTTGAACCAACATTACTGTATGGTTTAATTGTATTACAAGTCAGATATTGTTTTTATCGATTAAATCTAAAACATTACCTGTAATATTATATCGAATATATGTCATATTATGTAACACAATAACATGCAATTGTTGATGTAAGTAGTGAAAATGATTTCAGACAGCAGTTTGAATTTGATTCTGACATGAAATATTTCCTTTTGAAACCGTTGAATATAAGCTTTATTTAAAGTGAACAATAAAAAAGAGATTTGTAAAATTCAAACCGATCAATGCCGAAAATTTTCAAATGCATGTTAATTAAAAACTGTAAATTATACTTTTGATAATCATTTTTTATGTATCCTAGATTCAGTATCATTTGGTGTAAAAGGTTAGTAGTTACGTGAAGAACCCAAATGCAACAAAATATCTCTCAAGAGTTCCTATATTTTTAGTGTACCTTCAGTCGACGTCAAGTTTTAGTGAAATCGACCACCCAATAGTTTACTTTTGTTTAGGCTTGTCAATTATATCATCATAAGCAGAGATTGATGGTGGCTAGCAGTGGAATACATGATGCACGTCTCGTTTTATTTGGGACTCGTCAGCTGGATGTATCTGCATCTCGGAATCGATGTTCACACCAGGATTCGAACCCAATACCGTTCGTTTCAAATGCCATCGCGATATCCACTTAGCTACTGAGTCCCGATAGCCACTTGCTTGTGTAATGGGATGAAGTTTAAATTTACTTTGCATTGTTTGCATGAATCTTTCCATTGATGTTTAGAACTACAATTGATTAGTCTTTGATGGGCATATGTGCAAACTGTGAGTGTTGCCTTGATATTGCCTTAATGTACAAGCAAATGGGTATCAGGACTCAGTGTCTAAATGGATGACTCGATGGTGCTTGACGCGAATGGTACTGAGTTCGAGTCCCAGAGTGAACATCAATTCTAAGACGCAGGTACATCCAGCTGACGAGTCGCAAGTAGGACGAAACGCGCGTCCTGGATTCTACTGCTAGCCACTATTCATCTTTGCTTATAATGCTCGTGAATTAATGCAATATCAAGGCAATGCACACAGTATGCACATATGCCAATATGAGACTGATCAACTGCATTCCAAAACATCAGTGGGAAAATTCAAGCAAAAAATACCAAGTGAATTTAATTATATCATCAGTTTGTTTGATAAATTAATTAAAAATATAATCCACCAGACTGGTTGCAATTTTCTTCCCAATGGTTAGAAATGCATGCTTTTCTAGAAGCACATTGTAATAAATAATATTAAGAAAAGTATGTGGTAGATTCCAAATGATTTTTAATGTATTTAATTGAGCAAATTGTAAAAGCAGTTTGAATATATTTGCTTTATTCTTACATATTTCGTATTTCTAAGAATAATTATTGTTTTTATTACCTTTCTTCAATCAAACCAAGTATACGAAGCTATTGTAGTGAATATTATATTTAAAATTATATTTAATCACAAGTCCCATTTAAACGGTTTATTATCTACTTCACCAGCAAACATAAACAGTTTTCATTGTTTGATGATATCCTACACAGTTACTCACATTTAACATAATTCCATGGGCCTTGAATTTTTGATACCCTTCAAGACAGGGGTTCAATAGAAACTGGAGTAAAATATTTGTTAAATGCTTAGGTGATTTTCGTCATGGATCGACACCAGCTGAGCAACTACTGAAAATCAAGGAGAAATGAATTAGATATTTCGTCTACATTTGAAATTCCTTAACAGTATGCAAAGATGATCCAGCTTGGGGTTTCATATTTGTGATGATTGAGTAATTCTCTAATCATTTTGTTAGCGTCAAGTGATCGACAACCACAAATTTGAAACAACTTTCAATTTAGAGTAACGTTTATCAAATGCTAGTGATTAGTAACTATTTCACTTTAAACATAATTAAACTCTCCTAAAAGAACTGCTTTATTCATCAACTTAATCATTATATATAGGATATAACTATGAAAATGTTTATATTGATGGAAACTTGACCAATAAGAGAATAAATCAATAAACCTAGGAGTTTGTATACAAATTTTCAGATAAAATAATGTAGTTTGCACGACAAAAACACTTACACATGTACAACATTAATGACTAGGTATTTGTTAGAGTTATGTTGTCAATAATATATATATATATATATATATATATATATATATATATATATATATAATGTTTTTCAATCGATATTTATTTTACATTGTAAGAGTATTAGGTAGTCTAGTAGTTATCGTCTTTCGAAACTTTGATATTGGATTTGTTCATTATGTCTATAATGTTAAATTATAAAATGTTGAGAATGGAAGTGTAATGAATACTTTACTTTTGTAATGATCTATATTATCTCTGCAAG